CATCTACTAACACAAACGACATACATATATATCGTTCATCATTTACATTGTTCTAAATTCCCAATTATATATATACATTATGCGCAAAAATGTAGCTATTGGATATAAGGTGTTTAGACTGAGCTACTATATGAGTCATGTAAATTGTAATACATCAAACAACATAAAAATTATTAAACAAATAAACTCATAACATTTTGTGCTACATTAAATGTTGATCTACTAAATATGTAAACCTTTCATCTCTTTATCGCTTCATTATCCCCCACTTTGTCTATGCGTATCCTTATCGCTTCAAATAGATTATAGTTGGAAAATATTGAATATTTAACTAAAATAATTTTGTAATCAGTAAATAAAATTTGAAACAAAATGTTTTTTTTTGTTGAGAAAGGACAAAATACTTTTTATTAAGATCGTGGTATAGTTATCAACGGAAGGAAAATATTGAATCCTCAAATTAAATAAAAAGATAATTTATGAGGTGGTATTGAACGTAGGATTATAAAAGAATTGATTTTAAAGTATTGTGGAAGAATTAATAAGTTTCCATCAAAATTCTAGCAAAAATGATAGGAATTGGCTCTTCACATTTTTCTCCTAAAATTCTATTAAATTTCTTTAAAATTTAACAGAATAAAAGTTGCAAAAAAAATTGAATAACACATGAATTTAAAAGAATTAGGATTTTAATCAATTGAATAATACATGAATTTTAAAGAATTAATATTTTAATCAATTGAATAACAGTGGAATTCTCTAAATATCTGTAAATAGTTGTTAAATTTGTTTAAAAATGAGAATGGTAGTTTAAAAATATAATTTCGGAATGGTTGTTAGTTATAAACAAATTTAGAAATTTAAATTATATTCTCAGAAATTTTTAATGGTAATTTTTAAGGAGAAATTTCAAAAATGTCACTTTTCAAGTGCCACTTTACAAAAATGTCACACTTTTGAGATCTTTACAAAAATGCCACTTTTTCTAAATTATTTTTTCTTTATTTTATTTATGTTTGGGTTAATTATGTTTTATTAAGGTTTAGTTATGAAGGTTTATGGGGTTTAGGGGTCAAAACATTTTTTAGTGTTTAGAATTTTAAGATATAGGGTTTAAAAATCTATAATTAGGCACTTTTGCAAATGAATACCCCCCTAAGTGGCATTTTTGCAAATGTGCACATAAAAAGTGGTATTTTTGAAATTTTTCCATTTTTAAGTGTGATATAATTTGTGTTAAAAGATTCATTAGAGATTTATTAATTTAATTAGTCCAAATTTGGTATCCATGTCATCATTTTTCCCAAACCATGTCATTATTTTTTAGAACCATATCCTACTTTATAACCAACCAAATTAAAACACCTAAGCCAAACTAATAGAAACATTTTCCTTTTAATAGTAAGGGGATTAACGATAATGTCATACATAAGCGATTTGATTTTATTTTTTT